GTTTCCCGCAGCTCGGTATCCCTGGAGGTCCGCACCGGCGAAAGCCCCGCCCCCCAGCGGCCCCGCCCCCATCGATCGGCTCCGGGAGGCGGGCCCGGCCGTGGCGCCTGGGCGGGCTCGGGAGGGCGGAGCGGGCGCGCCCCCGCCACACGCACGCCGCGCGCGCCCGCGCCCAGCTCCCGGGTGACTATAAAGGGAAGGCGGTCTGCGTGCCGGCCAGCTCAGTCTGCAGCTTTTCATCCACTTCCATCGCTCCCTCCGGTCGCTGGTCAGACCTCAGCCGCCAAAATGGTGAAGCAGATCGAGAGCAAGGTATGCGCAAGGCCAGGGCGCGGCGCGCGGCCTCCGTGGCGGGGAAGGCGCTGGGCTGGAGGGGGGCAGGCCGCCGCTCCGCATCCCGGGGGAAGGGGACGCGGCGGCTCGGCCTGGGGCTGCTAGAAGCCGGGCCTGGGTGCGCTCTAGGCGCCCGAGCATGCCCTGGGGGACGGGAGGAGAGGGACGGGAGCCCCCTGGAGGGCAGGGTCGGGGTGCCCAGTGAGATGGGGGAAATGCACGCGCGCGTGGAGTGTACGGGCGGCCCCTCACTGCGCTTCCTGCACCACCCCTGTCTGGGAACTCTCGCTTGGGGGCAGGGAGTCTACTCTTGGCCCCCTATGTATCCGGATACGCGCCCGGGCCGGGAAATGGAGGGCTCTTTGGAGAACACCGGGGTTGCTGGCCGCCACACCCTCCCCGGGGAGTGGCGTGATCCACACGCGCTGGTGGGGTGGGCTTCCATAGGAGCGGATCCAGGATGGAGACCCCCGGCTGCCTCCACCTGGTGCTGTGCCCCAGACGTGACGCGGACCGTATCCTCGCAAAGGGGGGGGGGGGTGGTTCCGGGCCGGAGACCCCGCTGCCCTTCCGCGGGGGTCTGATACCGGCCCCGAAGCCCCAGGGGCTCAGGTGCCCGCATGGAAGTGAGGTCCGGGCCGCGCCCTCGGGGCTCCTCCTCCTGCGGCGTGGGGCGTGTTTCCGGCAGCGCTGGCTTTGGAATGACTCAGTCCCCAAAGCTGGGCCCAGGGACCTCCGCTGCCCTGCCCGTCTGTGTGATTCACCCACTGTCGGTGGCTCTCGCTGGAGCCAGGAATGCCCCTGGGAGCAGCTTTCGGGTACTCAGACGGTGGGTCCATCCTTTTAGGATGTCCCAGGCAAAAAAGTTACTGCGAGACAGATACCCTCCCGCCTGGGAAACTCGAGAGCCTCACATAGCGTCCGGTATACTGTAGCCACTCCAGAAATGTTTGTTAAATGCAGATTCAGAAAAGTGACTGGGAGAGAATTGAGGTCGCCCGAACAGTGCAAGAACCTCAAGCATTTACCCCGCGATGTTCCCACCCCAGTGAAGCTACCCACAGGCGGGCCCGCGCCCACCTTGAGTGCCCTGGACCCTTTAGATGCCGGGGCGGGCTTCGAGAACCTCTCTTTTTTTTTCTGTAATGGTCCCTTACCTTGTTGTCACTCTTAGAACCAGAAAATATATATGTGATCGTTGTAGAGAGGGATTTGCTATGTCCTACAAGCCACAAAGTAATTGAGATTATGTTATGTCTATATGCTATTTTGTTTCGGAGCTTTTATTTTCCTGTCTAATTTAGCCTGAACGGTTTACATGTAATCAGAAGCTTTTTGTAGCCATGTCCGTATCTGAACACACTGCTGGGCATTGAGGCAGTTTTTGTGGCTTCGGTGACTGTTTTGTTCACAACGTCTTGTGCTGGGCTTAGGGGCTGGAGTGCAGCGATTGGGTTAAGGGGTGGGAATCTTGAAGGCCTGTAATTACCACAAGAAGCATGTGAGTGCCCCTCCCTTTCCTTTCATCGCTGACTTTCCCGCATAACTTTGGCCAGATCCTTAGTAAGAACATTCTCATTCTCATTGGAATTTCTTTGATTGATTACTAGTGACTGACTGACTTTTCTTCTCCCACACGTGTTGATGGGCTATTTGTAGTCTATTATCTGCTTGTCCTTAATGATTTTATTTTCCTATTGGGATTCATTTTTTTAAATTGTGAGCATTTATATTAAAATCAGCAGCCTTCTCATTTGTTGAAAACAGAGGTCCTTAATATTGATTTTTGTTCTGCATACTTTTATTTAATACCTATTGAATGAGAAACATCAGCTTACGGGGTGGGGGGTTTCGTCCAGGGTCTGGCCACCTCGGTATAACCTAACAGGTGAGCACCCATGAAAGGAGTGGAAAGACTTTGAGGGGTCTAGATTAGTAGTCTCAGAATTCGTACAGCACAGACAGAAAACTGAGTGATTCCGGGAGCACACCTTTCAGTTTTTCCGTTTTCATGGTCCTATTTATGGCACCCTCCTCCCCTAATCAGTGAGATGGAGAAGGGTGGTAAGAAATTTGTTCCTCAAAGAAGCACTACATTAGGCTCTGATAATCAGTGGATCCTCAGATTTATAATTCAGAGTCATTAGTCAAAAAGTAAGCTAATTCAGCTCTGGCCGGTTTGGCTCAGTGGATAGAGCGTTGGCCTGCGGACTGAATGGTCCCAGGTTCGATTCCGGCCAGGGGCATGTACCTTGGTTGCGGGCACATCTCCGGTCGGGGGTGTGCAGGGGGCAGCTGATCGGTGTTTCTCTCTCATCGATGTTTCTGTCTCTCTGTCCCTCTCCCTTCCTCTCTGTAAAAGGTCAATACATTATATTAAAAGGGAAAAAAAAAAGCAAACTAATTCTAATGTTACTTGTAAATATTAAATACACTTGAGATTTTCGTCTTGGTGGACTTGGTGCCATTGGCTTTCCAGAACAGCGCTTCCTGGGGTGTTGGTAGCTTGGAGCCACCGGGATCTATTTCAGATACAATTGGGATAATTCCATGAGGAAGAAATCACAGCTTCTTTTCTTCATTTTCATTATTGTTGTTTTTTAAAGAATAACAGCTGCCATTTATTGAACACAGGCACTTTGCTAAATGCTTTACAAACTACTCTTGTGCTTTTATTAATTATCTGTGGAATGGTTGTGTTTAGGGAAAGAGATGCTAGACTCTGCTTCTATTTATGTACCCCACCTAACTTGTTTTTAAAATATTTGTGTCAGGCCCTGTAGTTAGAGTGCCCAAGCGCGGAAGGGTCTCAGGTTCGATTCCCAGTCCACCACGGCACACCTGGTTTCCAGGTTCAAACCCCCATCCCTGACCCACTAGGGGGTTATGCAGGAGGCAACCAGTTGATGTGTCTCTCTCACATTGATGTCTTTGTTTCTCCCTCTCCTTTTTGTTTGTTTGTTTGTTTTGTTCATCCTCACCCCAGGATATTTTTCCATTGATTTTTAGGGAGAGTGGAAGAGAGAGGGAAAGACCGAGAGAAACATTGATGTAAGAGAAACATATCGATTGGTTGCCTCCTGCATGTGCCCTGACCAGGGCTCTGGGTCAGGGAGGAGCCTGCAACCGAGGAGGTGCGTGCCGTTGACTGGAATCGAACCTGGGACCCTTCGCTCTGCGGGCCTACAGGCCGATGTTCTACCCATTGAGCCAAACGGGCTAGGGCGTCTCCCTCCCTCTCTCCCTCCCTCCCTTCCTTCCTTCCTCCCTCCCTCCCTCTCTCCCTCCCTCCCTCCCTCTCTCTAAAAAGTCAATGGACAAAATATCCTTGGGTGAGGATTTAAAAAAAATTTAAAATATTTGTCAATGAAGAGGACCTTTAATCTTTTTTAGTTTCTGGTATCTAGGGATTGTGGTTTGCTTCTTAGGTAATTTTGAATCATTTTCAAACTGATGTCTGCTTTAGGTAAATTTTAAATATCTGGAGATGAGAAATGGTTGTGAAGTCTACACATACCAGGCTCTAACTCAGGTTCATTTGAGCCCAAAGTTCCTATTGTGTGCCTTTTTCTTTTCAGATTTTTAGGTAGTTTTGCTGGAATTTGATTCTGAGTTGTTTGGGGGAATTCCTTGAGAGTGTTTGAAATAATATTCTATGTTGAAAGTAATCTTACCAAGTATTTACTGAGAGCCAGCCATGTTCTCAAAACAATATACAGTCGACCCTTGTATAGCATAGGGGTTAGGGACATCAACCTCCGCACAATTGAAAATGTGGGTAGAACTTTTGATTCCCTGCAAATAACCTACTGTTGACCAAAAACCTTACAGATAGAGCTGACAGTCAGCTAACACATGTTATATGTATTGTATATTGGATTCTTACCATAAAGTAAGCTAGAGAAAAGAAAATGACAAGGAAGAGAGAATACATTTACAGTGCTGTCTATACTTATTGAAAATCTATAAATCGCCGAAACTGGTTTGGCTCAGTGGATGGAGCGTCGGCCTGCGGACTGAGGGGGTCCCAGGTTCGATTCCGGTCAAGGGCGTGTGCCTGGGTTGCGGGCGCATCCCCGGTGGGGGATGTGCAGGAGGCGGCTGATCGATGTTTCTCTCTCATCGATGTTTCTGACTCTCTATCTCTCTCCCTTCCTCTCTGTAAAAAATCAATAAAATTTATAAAAAAAAAAAAAGAAAATCTATAAATGGACCCACGTACTTCAAACGCGTGTTGTTCAAGGGCCCACTGTATTCGTCTGACCAGCCAGTGTCATTTTGACTTGTTTCCTGTCCTATCTGGATCTTGCCTGTGTAGAATGGCTTGTTTGACCTTCTAAAAATTTAATCTGGACAAGTCAGTGGTGATTTGGAAATGTAATTTCTATAATTCTTTATTTTAGAGGGGGAGGGGGAGAAATTTGTTGTTCCACTTATTTATGCATTCATGGGTTGATTCTTGTATGTGCCATGACCAGGGACGGAACCTGCAACCTTGGCATATCGGGATGGCGCTCTAACCAACTGCGCTACCCAGCTAGGGCCAGTTTCTATCATTCTAACTTGACGCTCCCACAGACCCCCAAAGGTAGAGGACAGTTTGTACCTGCATAACTGAAAAGAGTACATAAGTAATGACATGCCATTCTCGAAACACCATTTGTGAATTATTTCCCCAAAAAGGTAGAAATTAGAAAATCTAGAGATGTAACTCCTTCAGAGGAATTCACTCGAGGTTTTAATGGTGACTCATTTACTTTCCCTTTCAACTGGACCAGATCTAATCTGATTCTTAGCTGTCAAAGGAGGGGAATGTTAGTTTTTTCATTAAACCAGTGTGATCCGCATTTTCTCCTTGAAGAAAACCTAGACTTTAGATGTAGATGTTTGTGTTTTGATTTCTCTTCGTTGCCCCGGTTTTGATCATCACTGACTGACTAATTGTGGTTAAAATGAGTTTCTTAACTGAAAGGTTAGGTTCCCAGGGTTACAGTATCAAGACCATCAGTAAATTATTCACGGAGGTTGGTGGTAAGGGATTTCTTGGTCATTTCTGCTCCTGGCATTTTTTTTTTAACGTGCATTCCTTAGGAGGAACTAGAACTGTGGCTTTCATCTGGTCAACAATGAGGGCAGAGTTTTGAGATAAAGGGCAGAAGTCAACCATACACAGTTCTGATCTGAACTCTGGAAACTCCGTTAAAAAGAATACAAGGAAATAAGCTTCATGTCGCCAGTGATTGGAGGAGGTTACTTTTTCTTTCTTTTGCTTTTGGAAAGTTTCACCATAGGAAATATTAATTTAATGAAAAAAGTGTTAGATTAAAAGAAACAAACAAACTTGTGTTGTAGATAGCAAAATTCTGTGTCTTTGTGACTTCTTAATTCAGGTGATACCCTGTCACCAGTTAAGCATTTAGTAAATGTGTCCAAAATACAGCAGAACCTGGTTTCTCGAACATCTCCCATCTCGAACAATTCGCTTCTCAACCTGACAACCCTTTCATGCTGATACCTGTATGATGAGTCACACATCTCTCAGGTGACAGACAAAGGAGAAATTGCACAAATATCAGTCAGTTTACTACTGTTAAGATATCAGGATATTGTGCTGTGAATATTTTCGTGTTTTTTTTTTTTTGCTTTTGTTGCTGCTTATAATTTGTAAAATTTTCATTTTTACTGTACATTTCCTTTACATTTTGTTAAATTTTCATTTACACTTCACGTCCTTTTTGTATTTAAAGTATTTGTTTATAGATTAAACAGAATAGACATATACTGTATATAAGAAAGGTTAAAACGGAATCATTGGGGGTCTGGAATGGATTAATTCGCTTTACATTATTTCTAATGGGAAAAAATGATTCGGTTTTCGAACAGCCTTCCAGAACGAATTAAGTTTGAGAAACGAGGTTACACTGTACCTAGATTTGATGTGGAAACATTTTTAATACAAATGTCTATTTTTTCCTTAGTTTGGCTATAGACTAAAATTTTATAAAATATTCATAGACACATGAATATTGATACACTATACACATACTTGTTTCATCTTATCAAGCAATATTACAAACAACACCAAAGGATTTTGTTTTTCAAGCAGTTTCTTTGGGTTTTTCTATTAAAAGGCAGGCTTTGCTTCCAGGACCTCTGAATTGTGCTGTGTCACATTTTGTCAGATTTTATTGGGCCTTTTAACACATGCCTTTCTTTTCCCCCTAGTATGCTTTTCAGGAAGCCTTGAACAGTGCAGGAGATAAGCTGGTCGTGGTTGACTTCTCCGCCGCGTGGTGTGGGCCTTGCAAAATGATCAAGCCCTTCTTTCATGTGAGTATTAAACACCTTCTGCTGTTTAAGAGATTTGTGTTCTTTGGGTTGGTGGTCACGACCCTAGGAAAAAAAACTCAATAGTTTGTGGGTTGGTTGTTGTCTGATCTTTGGTCTAAAAGTAATAATGTAACAACCTAAATAAGTTAGCTTTGACACATGTGGCCCATTGAAGACAACCTTTAAAAGCTAATACGGTTGTCTTAAATCAGCGGTTCTCAACCTGTGGGTCGCGACCCTTTTGGCGGTCGAACGACCCTTTCACAGGGGTCGCCTAAGACCATCCTGCATATCAGATATTTACATTACGAGTCATAACAGTAGCAACATTACAATTATGAAGTAGCAACGAAAGTAATTTTATGGTTGGGTCACAACATGAGGAACTGTATTTAAAGGGCCAGAAGGTTGAGAACCACTGTCTTAAATGGTTTTGCTTTAGTTCATTTTGAAACATGGGCCCCGCTCTCTCTGAAATTGGGGCCTCGAGTTATTTTACTCTAGGAAGAATTTGATTCAGAGAAAATATATGTCCTTTATGCTTACCCTTGTCCCTAGTCTAAATTTTGGCTTCATTACATTTTCGTTTAAGAAGGTTGGGTATTAACTGCCATTAACAAGTTCTAATTCTTTGTGTATTTTTCACAGTCCCTCTCTGAAAAGTATTCCAATGTGGTGTTCCTTGAAATAGATGTGGATGACTGTCAGGTACGTGGCTGGAAATCTGGAATGCTACTTAGCTAAACGGTTTTCTTTTTTTTTTTTTTTTTTTTTTTTTTTAAATATATTTTATTGATTTTTTACAGAGAGGAAGGGAGAGAGATAGAGAGTTAGAAACATCGATGCGAGAGAAACATCGATCAGCTGCCTCCTGCACATCTCCCACTGGGGATGTGCCCGCAACCCAGGTACATGCCCTTGACCGGAATCGAACCCGGGACCCTTGAGTCCGCAGGCCGACGCTCTATCCACTGAGCCAAACCGGTTTCGGCTAAACGGTTTTCTTTTGAAAGAATAGGTAATTGTGCCAACTATGAGCTTAATCCCAGATATCAGGAGGTATATGTATCCTAAAATAAGCATAAAAATATAGTTGAGGCTTCAGTACTTTACTTCCCAGTAATTTACCTTCTAAAAACCTTTATATTCTACCTAACACTATAGAGTTGATGGTTATCACCAAACGTGGAGACCACTTTTAAGGTTCTTGTGAAGTAACGACATGAGAAAGTATATTCACACACTTATTCTAGTCTTAGTTGATTTTGGTCAATTAGAAAACCCAACGGTTTTAAAGAAAAAACCACCAAGTTGCCCAGTAGAGAGCTGAGAGAATGATTAAGGGGAAGATTCCAGGTTGGTTGAATTAACAAATGCTTGTTTAGCACTTTATGGGCCAGGCACTGTTCTTACAAGTATTGATTCATTTAAATCCTGGTGTTATCACCCCATTTTACAGAGGAGAAAAACAGAGGTGTGAGGTGGTCCATGGAGGTGCAGTGGCAGAGTCTGGGTTTAAAATGAGGTCGGCTGGCTTCCCAGCCCTTGCTCTCTCCCACCAGAGGCCGCTCTGTGGTGTGGTGGGTGCAGATCAGGTTCCCAGCACGGACCGTGCCTCTCACACAGCCCACTGAACAGGGAGAGCCAGCTAAGGCGTCTCACTGGGCGCTCTTTAGAGATAGGTGGGCATTTCCCCCTGCCCCAGTGGGCAGGAGGGGTCTAGGCTATGATGTGGCAGCAGAGGCGCTAGACCTTGGTCCCAGTCCTGGCTCAGTGACTTCTGCTTCAGGCTAATCCTTCTTCCTTGAGCCTTGGTTTTTCGCTATGGTCAGCTGGCCAAAGTTGCATATTCATTGAGCAACTATGGAATGTACTAAAGGGTCGATAAAAGTTGGTACAGGGTTATACTTTCTAAATCTGTGAGGACCTTCCCACAGCACGTTCACCAATTCCACACGCGTCCTTTCACTCACACTCTATTTGCTGGGCACAGCCTTGCCTTTTGTAGCTGATGAGCTAGCTGCAGGCTTCACATCTTTTCCAGGAACCCTTCTCCAGCTACCCCCCTTTTATGCCCAGACTAGGTTAGTTTCCCTTCCTCTGTCCCCATGGTATCCTCGGCCCCTTTTCCTCTTGCATTTACGGTTGTGGAATGGGGTGGATCCTCTCCCTAGTAGACTGCCTGCTTTCTCCCCCACCTCTGTCGCCTGTTAGCTGTACAGGCTCGGTTATCTTGTCTGTGCCTCAGTTTGATCCTCTGTAAAATGGAAATGTTAGCGTAACATCATCGGATAGTCATCAGGGTTAAATGAGATAACTCCTAGAAACGCTGAGGACAATACCTGGCACATGTGAAACATTCACTGAATCTTTATAATGGCCTCTTTGTGTCTCTCCTTGACTGTTAGTCTCTTTCTTCACTAAGCACACTTTCCTGGCAGGCAGTAGGTATAAAAAAAAATGGTTGTCAAGCTATTGTTCTGATGTGTTGCATAGTTTTAGGAAAAAAAGAATTGAGAGTAGATAGTATGTGTTCAGTTAAAAACAGGGAGCAAAGGTTTTTTCCAACTTAAAGTCTTGAGAGAAACTTCTGGTGCTGACCCTGTCAGATAGCAACTGAATACATTTTTATTGGAAAGCAATACCATGTGCTAGATGTTGTGGGAAGCTCTGCATGCTTTAGGTCAGTGGTTGGCAAACTGCGGCACGCGAGCCACATGCGGCTCTTTGGCCCCTTGAGTGTGGCTCTTCCACAGAATACCAACTTCTGCGCATGGGCCACGAAGTTTCAATCGCACTGTACGTGCGCACCCGCACGTGGTATTTTGTGGAAGAGCCACACTCAAGGGACCAAAGAGCCGCGTGTGGCTCGCGAGCCGCAGTTTGCCGACCACGGCGTTAGGTCACTTAATCCTCACAGGAACGATGAGAACAGCTTCTTAGCATCCCCACTGAAGCGATAGTGGACTGTAGCACAGAGGAGCACAGAGGTGTTAATCAAGCAAGAGTTGGGGGGCGCATTGAGCCCTGCCCCGTGCTGGTTCGAGGCCCAGCGCTCTTACCGCCTCTGGGGCGCAGATGTGCAGAGCAGGCAGGACTGCTGTGCGCCTGAGCTGCTCGTCCGCGTCTGGTTGGCATACTCATCACCCTGAGAGTTTCCAAACCTTGAGGTGCCCCACTCACATACTGGGGCCTTCCACTTCACGTCCCTGTTCTAAAGATCGAATACCTTTAATGGCGGCTATTACAACCACCTAAATAGCCTGATCTGTTGCAGAGGTAAAAGTTGAACTAATTCCAGAACCCTTTGATCACCACATACACATAGCTGCAGTCTCTGTCAGCTCCTACTCACCTGGTCATTCCAACAAAAAGCAGTTCCTTAAACAGTCAGTGAGTGGTTTCACCATGGAATTCATGAATTACGTGAGTGGGTCTTCTGGTTGCTTGGAAACTAGGTAAAACCATCACCTCATTTCAACTCTAAAAGAATACAGATAAGGGGTAAAAATTACATCAGTCTCATTTCTGAACATTAGATCCTATCATTCAATAGATGGAATGTTTAATAACTGAATTAGTTTTTAAAATTTATATACAGGTCGCTCCCGACCATGAACGTCAGACCCAGGGTAATTTACACATTTATAATGTCTTTGGAGCAAGCAGCATACAGTTTTGAAAGAAGGCTCTATAAAGCCTAGGATAGGAAGAAGTTACCTTTTGGGTGTAATAGAGTCACATGGACACGTAATGTGGTGCACAAGGAAAACTTGGTACTCACAGAGAAGTGCGAGTACTCGCCCTTTGGGAATGATGGGCTCCCAGCTCTCTGCGGGGCATGGTACTTCGGTAAATTAAAACAAGAAACAAGTGAGTTAGCCCTGAGAGTTCTGTAACATTTTAGAACAGCCAGAAATGAGTTAATGATAGAACTGACAAAAGCAGGTCTAAAGTTATTTCGCTATATGGAGTGTAAGCCAGAAGCTAATAAAAATCAGAGACTGGGTCAAGCTGTAGGGATGGAGAACAGGTCGGTTGTTGCTAGCGGGTGGGGTGAGCGGAGGGTTTGACTACAAAGGAGCTCCCCAAGGGAATTTGGGGGGAGAGGGAATAGTTTTGTGTCCTGGTTTTGGTGGTGTTTAGCAAGTGTCAGAACTTGTCCATATACACCCCCCAAAGTGAATTTTACTGTATGTAAGTTTACAATTCCAGATTGTTCACCAAAAAGAAACACACACACACACACGACAGGAAGAAGAGGTGTTATTGGGGAGTAGGCTGGCTTTTCGTTTCTAAGAGGGAAGTGATAAGAATGTTTTCAAAACCTCGGAGGTAACTACTTAGTTTTTAAGTGCACATAACTTTGCAATCACTACAGAAATAGCAAACCAGTCCATAGAAGAAGAAAACAAAAGTGATAAAAGTAAAACATTAACTTTGGATAGCAAAGGTCAAGTCCATAGAGGATTTTGATAGGAATACTATGTTCCTGCAATATTGACTCAGTACTATTAAAATGTCAGACTCCCGAATTGGTCTAACTCCGTGGTCGGCAAACTGCGGCTCGAGAGCCACATGCGGCTCTTTGGCCCCTTGAGTGTGGCTCTTCCTAAGCCTTAGGAGTACCCTAATTAAGTTAATAACAATGTACCTACCTATATAGTTTAAGTTTAAAAAATTTGGCTCTCAAAAGAAATTTCAGTCGTTGTACTGTTGATATTTGGCTCTGTTGACTAATGAGTTTGCCGACCACTGGTCTAACTCAATCTGACATCTTGGGGAGATTGACCGTGACATTCTGAAATAATGTGGCCAGGGAAATCCCATGACAGTTCTTTGGTTTCCGAGATCTGGGTCCGAGGGCCCTGCTGCCTAGGTTGCTCCCTTGCATGGTTTTGCTGCTTAGGGGCTGTGAGGTTCTCCTTTTCTTACCTGATCCTCTTTTGAGTGCCAAGCGGGCACTGTCCAACCCTTACCAGCCTTCTTCACCTGAAACACTTGTCCAAACAAGACTATTTTCATGGCATTTCCCTCCAAACCTTATGTGAACAGAGTATTGCGTTAAAAGTTCCTGTGACAAAACTGAAAAATGCTTGGCTTTTGAGCAGCAGAAAAATCTTAGATGTGAGAAGACCCGCATCTGGGAGAAGGAAGATAGGCACCCACCAGCCCGATTTATGGTGTTTTGAGTTTGCCCATTTGTCTCAAAGCTGGGTGGCCCACGAAGGTTCTACCATTAGCATCAGGTGGGCCTCAACCTTGTAGTGCCCCTCGGGCGATTCTGATCATGCAGCCGGGTTTGAGAACTGGCAAGTAAAATTCTAATTAAAAACATAAAAGAAACAAGAACCAGTGTGTGCCCCTTTAGAATTCTTGAACAATTTTTTCAGTTTTCTCCTCTTTCTCACACACTCGTCTTTAGCCTTTATGATCATCATCTCTGTACCCCATTCCCATAATAAATCTGGAAAAACTAGGAGCAAAGATAGAGGTGCTAATTCTGAGGAATAGTTGGGATTATAACCCTGAGTACAGTTAAAGAATTTGTTGCTTTATGAGATTCATGAAATAGCCAATATCTAGTAATTGGACTAAAGAGCTTATTGAATCACCGGATAGTATCTGATACAAGTTGCATTCTGTTCCTTCCTTGGTGCCCCTCTGAGGAGAGTACATATTAGTAAGAATTTTAATTGAGAATATAACTAGGGTTTTGTGTTACCATTATATTCATTGTCGATTTTCATGCGTTAAATAAAGGCCTAATGCTGAGATATGGAGTATACAGCAGAAAGAAGAATCCGGTTTTGGATTCTGTGCTTCTGTCAAAGTTCAATACTAACTTTTATTTTTATTCTCTCTCCAACTATCCTCCTCCCCCCAACCCAGGATGTTGCTGCAGAGTGTGAAGTGAAATGCATGCCAACCTTCCAGTTTTTTAAAAAAGGACAAAAGGTAGGCACATCTGACCTTGAAGAAAGCTGAGTAATAGAAGAACATGATATAATGAGGAAACGGAAGTTACTTATTCTTTCATACTGAGAAGCATGTCCCCATTGTTTGCTTTTAAGAACTACTTAAATAGGTCACTCTTCATTGACTGGGGTACATAATGTGGCATCTAATTCAAAATTGATCTTTGCTAGACCCAGTCACTAAATCTGTGATTGGTACTTCATGTTCTATAACAAAGTACATTTGTCTTTATTAGGAGGTATTTGAGTCTTTTGCCTGTTCTTGAGGGGCTATTTTCTCTTAGTTTTTAACTTAAAACTGTGTTTTCCAAGGTGTTATTTTTGAATAAGATTATACCTCTCCTTTGCCTCCAGTTTTCCCCCATTCTGTGATCATGTCTTAAGCACAAAGTAGAGATAACAGTGCTACCATCTAATGTCAATTCAATATTTTCTTAACAGGTGGGTGAGTTTTCTGGAGCTAATAAGGAAAAACTCGAAGCCACCATCAATGAATACATTTAATCATCTTAACCAGCCATTGGCTCTTGTAATTTTTTTTTATTTACAAAAAAAAGAAGATAGATCAAGTATAGAGACTATATACTCAACTACCATCTGATTATAAATGACAATAAAATATTAATTCTACCCTTTTTAAAACTGTCTGGTGTCTTGACTAGCTTGCAAAATAAATGAAAAGTGGCCAATTAGAAGGTATTTAGAGTCCTAATTATTTTCACATATTCTAGATCACTTTTTAGTCACCTTGTAGGCCACTGATTGCGTTAAGATTTTTCTTTTGTATTATTACTACTTTTGTGTATTTCTAGGGAAATCTTGTCGAGGGCAGTGTAGGTAATAGATTAGTATTTTTAAATTCTATTATTGTTTCATTCTTATGAACAGAGAAAATAGCATTCTCTATTCCTGCAGTCAAATCCCCTGTGCTCTCTGAATGATCAGCGTGAGCCAAACTAATGTCCACCCAGGAAGGAATTGTTTCTCTGGTTTGAGATTCCTGTCCCACAAGGTCCCGTGAGCTTCACTGACTCCTGTTATGTCAAGGGGATGAATTCCTGAAAACATTCCCATGGGAATTGTGATTCCCTCAAAGTAGCTAAGAAAATAGTTTTGCAGGGTAGATAGAAGTTCCAACCTGAGTGGTAAAGTCTGTGGGAGTGACTATTTCATTCAAAAACAGGCAGAGTTTTAGAGACAGCAAAGTGCAGAGAGAATACTTGAGGTTTTAAAATGTTATAGTGATTGAGAAACCATAGATTTAATCATATGCCCCACATCATCCTGAATTAATCTTTGCCTCCAAAAAGGTGAGTATATAAACTCCATTTCCCAGTGAGAAAACCGGCAAAGAGGTTAAGTACTTTCCCCAGCATCACACTGGTCGAAGGATCTGAGATTCCAACCAAGGGAGTCCGGAGCCCGTGTACTTGGCTCTCTACTGCCTCTCAGTGCAACAGTCTGAATAAATAGTAAAACGATGATTTCAAAGATCCTGGCTTAAGATACCCTTCCCAGAGATCACATGGGATCTGATAACGGGAATGATAGATAGGAATTTTATACAAGATCAAAACAAGCACATGGACACCGTCATTGAGAATAAGAGCCTGGCTTTGGATGGAGTGGTTGGGGCAGGGTTCTGGGAGGTGACTGAGACCTGGTTAGTGAAAAGGACTAACCTGCAGAATTCTGTTAGAGCAGCATGCACAAAGGCCCCGAGTCAAGAACGAGCTTGGTACATTTTAGCCGAAGCAGGAGTTAAAGCTGGATAGAGTGGCAGGGACCAGTTATCTGAGGCCTTCCTTGTTCTAGGTGTAACTATAAGCCGTTGAAGGGTAAGCCAGAGCTAAATACCCCCAACAAGAGTTTGTTGGCAGCTGTATGGAAAATGGTTGGGGAAGGGACTGGAATGTCAGGCCTTTGCAGAGATCAAGGCCAGAGATAGTGATGGCTGTGATTGAGGGAGGGGGTAGAGATGAAACCGTCTGTCCAGATCCCGTAACATTTAGGAAAGAATATCCAATAACATATGGGAGTAGAATTCTAGAATAAATTTCAGCTTTAGGGTTTGAGCAACTTGGTAGTTCAAGTTGTAATAGATCAGCGGTTCTCAACCTGTGGGTCTCGACCCCTTTGGGGGTCAAATGACCCTTTCACAGGGGTCGCCTAAGACCATCGGAAAACACATATATAATTACATACTGTTTTTGTGATGAAATATGCTTTAATTATGTTCAATTTGTAACAATGAAATTGGGGGTCTCCACAACATGAGGAACTGTATTAAAGGGTCGCGGCATTAGGAAGGTTGAGAACCGCTGTAATAGATGATTGGAAGAAGAGGTCACGTTCTCTGGACGTGTGAAGACAGATGCTTCAGTGGTGTGTATTCCAATGAAGATGTCCTGCAGGCTGTTGGGTACTAGCCTGGAACTCAGGACAGGCCTTGACTGGGGTAGGAATTTAGACTGTTGCACTGAGAGGCAGTAGAGAGCCATGATGTCATGGAGGTGGCACTTCAAAACAGGAATATGTGAGATCACCCAGGAAGAGAATTGTGAGTAAAGAGCGCTCAGTGCTGCCTGACGCACGTCAACATTTAGAGACCAGTAGAGTAGGAACCAACAGGGAAAACTTAAGGGGAGCCCGAGGAGGAGGAAAACCAGAAAAGGGCTTTAGACCCAGAAGTAAAGAGGAAGGGGTGTCAACCATCAAATGTTTGAGAGGAAGGTGACAGGAAGACGAAACAGGTGGTGGCGTGACCAAGAGGTTCTATGGAGCAATCGGGATGGAAGCCAGGTGGGTGGCATCTGGAGAGAGGGGTCAGAAATGACCTGGAAGTCACACTTTCCGTATCCTAAAAGAAGTAACATTCGTGAAGAAAAACGTCCAAGGATAAATTATTGCAGGACAAAATTGGATCTCCATCAATAAAAAAAATGGTTAAATTCGAGAAGATAATCCTTTCAAGGTATTACCGAATAGGAGCTATTACTACTAAAATAGGAAAATCTCAGTGACTGAAATAAAGCAAGTTGCAAAACTCTTAATTCAGAACTGTATCATTTCATTTGCATAAACCACAAGACTTACTGTCTGTCTCTATAGGTAAATCTGCATGTAAATTAACAGGAAAATGTCTCCAAGGAAACATGTCTAACTAATCACAGCAGTGATTTCTGGACACTTACAAATGAAAATAGAATTTTTTAAATAATAGAATGTAAAGGACAAACAGGGCTGTAGAACTCATAAGAAACATTGCTCTAAAATAGAGCTGAGCGATGGAGTTAAGAGGCATTTTGTCTATAAGACGAGTGTGTTTGCTAGCATGCAAATAGAAATGATAGAGGTAGAGACTGATTTTGCAGGAAAAGGGATACCTGGAAAAGGGAATTCCTTGTGTAGTCAAGAAAAAAATGGGACACATGCATATATGCATTACCCATGGACACAGACAAGGGGGGGTGAAGGTCTAGGGCGGGGTGGGGCAGAGGCTGGCTGGGAAAAGGGGCATGTGTAATACTTTCAACAAAGACTAAAAAAGGGGGACTCATGCCCTAACCGGCTTGGCTCAGTGGATAGAGAATCGGCCTACGGACTGAAGGGTCGTGGGTTTGATTCCGGTCAGGGGCATGTACCTTGGTTGTGGGCACATCCCCAGGAGGGGGTGTGCAGGAGGCAGCTGATCGATGTTTCTCTCTCTCATCGATGTTTCTAACTCTCTATTCCTCTCTGTAAAAAATCAATAAAATATATTTTTAAAAAAAGGGGGGGACTCAGCACAATGGGAGAAGCCGGTCACCGCCTTCATCATAGCCAGTGGACTAAAGATGTGTGCATGAGCACCTAAATATATGAAGCACATATTAACACACCTAAAGGGAGAAATAGCATACAATAACAGTAGGGAACTCTTGGGAGAACCAAGATGGCGGCGTAGGGAGCGGACCTGTGTGTGCTGCTCTCTCACAGCATCACTGAAACATATCGAACTATGAAGTAAACAACCGCCACTCAGAACCA